TAGGGTTTATTGTGACTCATTCTGTCTTTGCAATGGTGGGGAAAGTGGGAGGGGGGCAGGAAGGTGGTAAGTAGTCCAAAAATTTCTGAGGTCTAAATACTGTGCTTTGATTCTTCTCAATATCCAATAGAAACCTGCCCTCCTTTAGCCAAATGGCTGGGAAGACATCCAAAAGATTAAGATAACCAGAAGTTAAGAAGATGGGGAGTGCTGTGTACATAAGGTTTCCCTGCTGTGGGCAAACGATTCTGAGAGAGGGTGTACACCTAAGGACAGCCTGCTTTCTAAAATACAGGCAGATACACAGCCAGTGTGATGTACACATGGCATCAGTTAATCCCTTTGAATGGTCACCATACCTTTGAGGACCATACCTGGGGCACTTGTTTGGCATGTGCCAGACTAGCAAATGGACCCTCATTTTGGAAGCCCCAGACATTTCCAGTACTGGTCCACCAGAACAGTAAACGTGGCTTGAGTTGCAACTGCTGAGCATGTCCTGAAGTTATTCTGTGCAATCTCTTCCGCTTGTCTCGAATGGGGCACAAATCCATTCATCACTCACCAATCTGTTTGTGTGAACCCAGTCTAACACAGCCTTCCCCAAGCGGGCACCTTCCAGATGGCTGGACTGCAACTACCCTGATTCCGCAACCATGGGATGCACCAGCTTGGAGAAGGCTGACGTGGACAGAGCTGCACAGTTTTAAAGGGCAGATCAATTTGTTCCCTCCTCGGTTAATTGCCAAGGCTGAGACTGAGCATTAAGAGGAAATCTGCAGGATCAGACAGTCTGTTTAGTCCACCATCCCATTTCCCACAGTTACCAGCCAGATGCCCCTGGGAAGCCCACAAGCAGGGCTTGAAGCGAGTGGGCCTCACAGCAATTGGGATTCATCAAAAGGTACCCCATCCCACCATGCCAGTCCGTCAGTCATGCTGGCCTGCTGCACCAGATTTAGTCGAAACAGACACTTAAAAGAATGCTTCAAGATTGTTTGCAAACTCAGAGCCAACTTTGGGAATGAGCTCTCTCTCATTCCTTACCCTCTTCCTGCCCCAGAGCAATTCTGTTGCTGGTGTTAATTAAGGTTTCATATTTCATGCACACTGAAGCGAACCACACTTCCCTTGTAAACCAGAGACAGGCAGGCCTAAAGTGCCATCACTTGGAGTGTGTGTCTATATGTGCTGTGTTCATTTTTACTCTAGAGTAGGCACAGTGGGCCCATCCAAATCTTGGCAGCCCCCCTCCCTATGCCAGGATCCCACTCAAGATCAGCTCCCCTCCTTGTGTCTAGTCTGGAGAAGAAATGGGGGTAAACAGATAGAGCTCCTGAGCATGAATTTCAATGTCTGCTTTGACCCTGAGAGTCAAACTAGTTTGTGGCAAACTAGTTTGTGGCTCTGGCCATGTATAAAGTAAGAGCAGGTTGATATTCTTATTTCGGAACAGATGTACAGGTGGGAGGTGCAAACTCTTTCCTCTCCCCTTCCTCAATATACCTTCCTGTTCAAAGGGCAGGTAGCCCTTTCTTACTTTTCATAACATCCTTCTTCCCTGATATCTTGAGAAGGTTAGAGAGGGCATCATTTGCATAAATTGGGCCTTGTGGGCTACTCCTACTTTTCCCCTTATGATTTCAGCACTGCTGACCTCTTTGCACTTTGTGCTGCAGGGCCATCAAGTCATGTCAATGTAAAATAGAAATAATGCTCACATGGGCTTATGAGTGGTGGCACCTTGCGTGGAAGTATGGACTGGACTAGAGCAGCGACTGGATCAAGCCCCTAATCCTTGGCAAATCTCTGTTATCATCCACATGTTCCTCCCTATACTATGCTGCAAATGTGCAAATAAAAAGCCCGGCATACACACAGAAAGTGAAATTTTGTAGCCAAAATGAATTCAGTTCATGCATTAAAGAACTTGGTGCAAAGAAACCTGGTGGCAAAGTGATTCTGGACATGGAATTGGTGTGCAGAATACATTAATGTTTGGGGGAAAGTGCTTGACATTCCACAGAAAATTCAGATCCTACTAATTAAAAGAACAGCCGCAAACAGTAAATTTCAGGCATTTTAACAACTCCATGTGACCCTCCCACATTCCCCCCAGTGCATCTTCCCTATCCACTAAATATTTCTGCAATTAGATTGCAATTAGACTGTCAGCTAAGTGAAAACCAAAACAACATTTACAGAAGAAACACAACTAAATCAAGAAAAGTTAAGAAAAGCTGCAGCTAGACAAAAGTCAGGAAAATGTCAATTACCTTGGATTTTGATTGCTTGGATCAAAAAAGCACAGTCATTCTGTTTCAAATAATGTTTTGTATCCAGCTAAGGTGTGTATCTATCAGCTCTGAAAAAGATTTGCAAAACCATTTTTGAGAAAGAAGTGTAACTTTTGACCATCCTTAAGGTCAAATGTTACAATGCTTGGTTTCTGTTTCACATTCAGTGCTAAACATGAATTACTTCTCTAGCAAAACAGCATTCACAGAAACTGCTTAGACAGCAGAGAGTACACATGAAGTACCTTTCCTGGCTTTCTATGTTCCAGGTACTCCAGGTTACAAATTCCATGAGAACACACAAGCTCTATGTTAATAGGCAGTAAACAGTTGGTATGCCTTTTCCCTTGAAGATAATAATGTAAAGTAGTTTTCCCAAAGGAATAATTATGCACATTTTAAAAAGTTTCGTTTTGCTTATAGATGAAAAATTACTAGGCAATTGACTTTATTGACTATATTTCACATGGATGTCGAGTCTACAAATGCCCGATCTGCAAACTACACACATGTTTACAAACCACAGTGCTCTGAGGACTGGAGCCTTAGTTTCATAGCTGGCCTAACCATTTGCTACCATTAGCATAACTTACATGCCAGATATCTAGAATGCCGTTCCCTCAGCAGTGAACAACTGCAGCCTGTCCCCGCAAGAATTAGTACTAAGAGTCAGAGCTGCCTTCTGGGACATCAGCATGACACCCACTCTCATCTGCACCCTCACTGCTCTCTAAATACGAAGTATTTCTCCCACTTCCACTAGCAATATTTTGTGCACAGAATGTTTTGAAACTCTGCATGTTCCTTGAGCCACAACTAAAGCATTATTCAACCTTATACTGATACCTTCTCCTCACTCTTTTCCACCCTTTGTACTGCTCAAATCAGCCCCGCTGCCTCTCTGTGCAACCCACTCGCCATCACGACCAAACTGACAAAAGTCCACTGCCAATATCTTATAAACAAAGCTATGTAGCTTTCTAACAAAATTCAGTAGGATCTCTTCTGCAGCCATGCCACCCGATTTCCGACACAAGCTGCTCCTGCCACCATGGTGTTGCATTTTGGTGGCAAATGTGGCTGTGCGGCTGGGTGGGACGCTGAGGCAGCCTCCCCAGAATGCTCTGGGAGGTTTACAACTCCTAGCTGAAAGCCTAGCCAGGCAACAACTGGCACGAATCTAAGAACTACTAAGAAAAAATGAAACAAACTATAGAACTTCTTGTTTTCATTCTGAAAATTCACTTTTGTGTCATACCGTCCCCTCGTGAGAGAGGGACAAGGACTGCCATCTTTATAAAAGTTCTCAACACATGGTGTTATCTTCAATTTCATGTCTCTTTCTTGTAAGAACTTTTTAGGAATCGGTGGGACTTTTTACAACAGCACGTGCTTTGACAGAAGCATTAAATGGAAACGACACATGATATGAGAAGTTCGCTGCCATCCATAAAAGCTGTTTCCTACAGCAGTAGAAGCCTCATGCACGCTTCCCTTTATCATCATTTTGTTTCTGCTCGTCAATGCACTATCGGTGTTCAAATAAGTGTTGCTTGATCAATGCCAAGGGATCAAAAGCACACATCACCAGGCTTTTGGGCTCTGATGACTACAAGAAATACAGATGCACACACACATCTCACAATTTATCTCTTTCCTCCCTACTCCTGAGATTAGGGGCTGCCATGGCAGTGGTGGGCAGCCTCTGATTGCTTTTTCTTGAGGTTATTAGTCATTCGCACAAGAAATGCTGGGAGGAAGGAAAGTTAAAGGCCAGCAAATTTGATTTAGCTCTCTGTTAAACACTCCATTAGCAATTCTTATACAGGTAACTCCCAGCATCCTTGATACTATTCTTGTACATTACAATTCTTATACAGCATCCTCCCAGCATTGGCCATGCTGGCTGGGGCTGATGGGAGGGGATGTTGGGAAATAGGGCCAAAGTATGTGGCTCAAAAATTTTGTTAAAAAGGCAAGGCAAGGCAAGGCAAGGCAAGGCAAGGCAAGGCAAGGCAAGGCAAAAAACAGGTGGGCTGGAGGAGGAAGGACCCAAAGACAGGATGAATCTTGGGGGGGGGGGGGGTGAAAAAAGTCTTAGCATTTATTTTGAGTGAAGGTGCTCTAACGTTTAAGTGGCTGTAGTGAATCTTCCTTTTGAAAAAAAAATAGAAAAGAAAAATCTTTGGGAACCTTATTTTTAAAGGTAAGACCCCCTTCATTTTTAGAAATCACCTGCCCCTGACAATCCTCTACCCCTTCTGTAAGTGACAAATGATGCTGCAAAAGTGAGTGGGTGACCGGAGAAAGGATGTTTGGCCCATCTTGAGGTCAAATCATTTTTTTGGTCAATTCTAGTCCACTGCCGTCTGCTCTAGCAGCTTTCCAGAGACACAGACAAAGGACTTTCAAATCATCTGCACACTGGCCCTTTTAACTGGAGCCACTGGGACTTGAACCTCTGAAACCGTGTTCTCTAGCACTGTGCTACTGCCCATCATTCCAAGGTTCCCAGGCATTTGGAGCTCAAGTGGAGACAGAGATGTTTGCTCACAGCAAGAGGGAAAGATACATACTCCTCACTCTCACACACCGAACTGATCTGCAGTGCCCCAGTCTAGTTGGGCACACAAATGGCAGCAGCCCTGTCAATCATTAATTTCACACCTGAGCCTGTAAGTGATTAGTTGAAAAATCATTACGCTTCAGATGGCCAGAGGACTTTCACACAGTTAATCAGTGAAGGAAGGTACTGTGTGCATGCAGGCTGCTTCATTCTCCAGAGACCCAGTTAAAGGGCTATATTAATGTCAAAAAAATGCAAATTGTAAGACTAGGCAGCAAATGGTGAGAAGAAGAAAACCAAGTTGCCACCAAATCCTAAACATGTTTACATGCATGAGTTCAGTGGGACTTACCCTTAGGTAATTGGTGCACTGGACTACAGTTCTGGAATCAGAGGACTAAAAAAGAGCCTGCAGTTAATGTAGCCAAAACACATTCCCTGGAGCACAACATTTGCTACTGTAAAAAATTACACCATGAGACTATAGCGCCACTCAAACAGAGTAGGCCCATATAGTTCCAGTGTGGTATAGTGGCTAGAATGTTGGATTGGGACTTGGAGATCTGGGCCTTAATCCCCACTGAACTAGGAAGTTCACCAGATGACTTTGGTCTAGTAACTGACTTTAGCCCAGCCTATCTCACAGGGTTAGTATGAGAAGAAGGATTATGTAAGCTGCTTTAAGTGCTTTTCAAGAGGAAAAAGATAGGGTATAAATGTAATAACAACACTACAGGTATTGGTTCCATCAATGGCTGTCTGATTTACCATCCAATCTTTATAACATTCCATTTCTCATCCCACTGCCCATTATTATATATAAAATATTTCACATTTTTGTTGTATTCATTTATTCTTCAATTACCTATATTCCATTGATTTTAAAAATTGTGGTATCTTTGCTCTTCTTCTTAGAGATGCTACAAAAATCGTAGTAATACTTTTCCTACAATAGACTATTTATATATCCTACACTAGAGTAGGACAGAATGTGGAGAATGATAATGGTTTTCTATAGGCAAAGCCATCAGACAAGGGTGTATTTATCTCTATCTGTTTTATCAGCACACAGAGCATATCATAAGGAAAACTGGATTATGATCAGAAGAAGCAGTATAACTTGGCAAATGATGCATCAATAATTTTAGATATGTAGATGATAGCTGGCAGGAAGCAGCAACTGAGTCAAATCCTGGTGAAAGTCAAAGAAGAAAATGCAAAAGCAGGACTGCAGCTGCGTATTAAGAAAACAAAAATCATGACTACAAAAGAAGAACTACAAAACTTTACTGTCAGCAATGAAGAACTTGAAGTTGTAAAAGATCTTGCATTAGTCAATCTTGATCTTTCAGTCATCCATTCAAACAGACCGCAGCTAAGAAATTAGAAGACTGAGACTTGGAAGGGCAACAATGAAAGAACTAGGCAAGATCATCAAATGTAAGGACATTTCACTGCAGACCAAGATCAAAATCATCTACACTCCTGTATTCCGGATCACCATGAATGGGTGTGAAATCTGGCAGTGAAAAAAGCTGACAGGAGGAACACTGATGTGTTTGAAACATGGTGCTAGAGGACAGCTTTGCAAATACCTTGAACTAAGACAGACCAGTGGGTCTTAGTTCAAACCATGCCAGAACTTCCCCTGGAAGCAAAAAACAGAAGCTTTCTCACTTTGGGTACATTATGAGAGGGCAGGACTCAGTGGTGAAGGCAATCACGTTAGGGAAAGCTGAAGAAGAGGAAGACCAGAAATGAGATGGATGAACTCCATAAAGGAAGCCAAAGCCTTGAGTTTACAAGAGCTGAGAAGGGCTGTGAGGAACATGGTGATCTGGAGGACTTTCATTCATAGGGTCACAATTTATGAGAAATAGTGGTATATAACGAGAGAAAAGCTATCAATGGTTTGAAATACAGTGCTCTGTGCTCTTCGTGTTTGAACTGGCAGGTGGCACATACTTTGGCACTAGAGACAGTGCATTGGACCCTTGCTCTGATATTGCTCTCCGCAGTAAGAAAATTAGAATGTGGAGCAGAGAAATCCTGTGAGGAAAGATCAAAGGAACTGGATCCAGAGAGAAGAGATGGGCGATAAATACTAACTGCAGAGGGTTGCACACATGCAGGCATCTTTCACACAATTGTCCCTTAAAAAAGGGAATGAGGGATTGTGCAAATTGGGCTCCCATGAGGAACACCTACATCACACTCTGTCCTGGTTTGCACATAATGGCAAGCCACCTTGTGTTCATTTTTACATTGGACTTGTTGTTGCTCATTTGTCATTATGTGTGAACCCTGCAAGGGTGGGTTGTTCAGGTGGTTAACAAGCCACTCAGAACCCTTTTCCAGATTATGGTTGTGAGTGGTTTGTTAGCCATCCAACCACCCACTCTCAGCAGTTCCCACAAAAGGGCAAGCTGCAGAAAATCCCTGCAGCAAGTCCCTGCTGTGGCAAGAAATTTCACAATTGCTGCTGCCTCATGATGTGAAACC